CGTTCTTAGATGTTCTTTTCACTATACATGATGATGGGTCGCTAGGACATAAGGTTTATAGGAAACCAACACATACAGACAGGTATCTGCATTATAATTCATTTCATCATCCTAGTATTAAAAACTCTGTGTGCAAGACACTCATCAACCGAGCGAAAACAATTTGCGAGGTAAGTAACATTGACGATGAATTAGAACATTTAAGAAATGTTCTAAAAATGAATGGTTACCCACGGCATTTCATAGATAATGCTATGAAAACGCCACAAAATATACAGCAGAAGATTGAATATCAGTCGTCTGTTAGTCTACCATACATTGGTCCAGCTTCACACAAAATCGAAAGAATTTTGAGGAATGAAGCAGGTATAAAGGTATACCATTCCAGCGAAAACAAATTGTTTCGAGCTCTATGCACACATAAGGACAACGTAAATGAATATCAGAAACCTGGTGTGTACCGCATTCCTTGTGAATGTGGTCTGGTTTACATTGGTGAAACTGGTCGAACTCTCTCAGTACGTCTTAAGGAACACAAGACGAATTGCGAGAAAGCCGAGCAAGATAAATCTGCTGTGGCTAAACATACTTGGACTTACGACCATCGTATAAAATGGGACGAAGCAACCATTTTGGCGATTGATAGTCATAAGTTCTCTCGCAAAATGAGAGAGTCAATTGAAATCGTGAAGCACAATACTATAGATCAGGAGGGAAAGCCACTAGATAGTACGTGGCGTGCTCTCTTTAATGTGCAAAATTAATTTCTCTTGTCTTGGATGCGCGCGCGTTAATTGGAATCACTTCACTACGTTTGAAATGACGTGGTTGATGTGCCGTTTAATTAAATTTCAAATGACGCGAGCCAACAGATCACGACACTCTTTGCTTGTATATAAAAAGAGCGGGTGAATTAAACAAGTCACATATTATTAGCACCATGGATAATAAAATAAATGGATTGGAAACTTCTGACGTCATTGACTGCATCCTTGTTGAAAAACGTGACGTCACGCGTATTGCGAATGTTACCAAAGTTCTCGGCATTTTTGTTGTTTTGCTATATTTTCCACTTTAAAAGGGTGATCTTGAAGCGTAAACTGGTCTAATTGTTTTAAAAACATGCCTAAGCCACGACAAAGTGTTCAAGGTAAATGTTTTTCGTCTTTGTTTTGTATTTTTTTACATTTGTAGCTACGAAATTGGCGTCACAAATTTTAACGAAATTTGCGATGTATTTTTCACTGTTTAGTGTTTGAAATATTTGCTAAAATTGACTGGGAATACTTAGAGTTTTCATCGTAGAATGGCGTGGTTACATTTATTTGCTCTTTGACTAAAATGTTTAGCTGTATTATTGCTAAACATGCCGTTTTTGAGAATTTGGTTTTCAACTAGGTTGAGGCACCCAGCCACGCCATCAATCCCAGTAAAAACATTAGGTCACGTCAGCTAGCTTCCTATCCATTTATTTTATTATCCATGTTAGCACTGATGAAGATCCGGGCTTATGGATCGAAAGCTTTGCAGTAATAAATTTACGTGGTGTTTCCACAAACAAAAACAATTAGATTTGAAATTGCTCTCAATTTCGCAAAACAGCTATTAATATCCAGTTTTTGATATATATAGCTTCTTTGGCTACTTGTAATGTAGAATAATGAAAACAATTTC